CCTTCTTTGTGTAAGATCTTATAAGATCATACAAGATCTTGTACATTCCTATGATAAGAAAAATCTTGTAAAATCTTATAAGAATCTTGCTACAAGATGTCATATGAAATCTTGTAAGATCTTATAGAAAATTGATAAGAATTGATAAGATCTTTTGAAATCTTATGATTTCTTATTATATGATCACCCAAGATCGTATATGATCTTGTGAGATCTTCCAAGATCTTGTTATCTAATACCTGGACCTGGGTCGTAACTCACTCTCGTGCTACCACAAAAAAATCCTCCCGCCCGCTCACATCTGGAATGATGCTTAATACTTGAACCAAAGCTAGATCTAAGCGGATACAAACTTCGGCAATCCCAGTATCCCAAGCGCTTAAAAATATACACAGATATATGAATACGGATACACACTCGGTATTGTTCAGTCTTGATGCCATTTCATCTTATTTTCTATCCTCTATGCAAAGTTCAGACAGACAGCAGTTCCCTCTATTAATTGTTCCCTCTCATAATGATATTATTGATATTGATCATTTCCTTTAGTACTTATACACGCTATCTCATTTTTTTGCCTTCATCTTATTTTACTTTTTTCTTTTGCTCTCTATCTTTTATTGTGCTGTATAAGAGTCTTTGGCATGTATGATTACGCTTTGCCACTTTACTAATGTAGAAATGATTTAAAAAAACAGAAAAGAAAACACTCTGTATCGAATAAAATTCGATTTATACATGCACACATATGTGAATATAGATATATTGATACGTATATGAGCCAATTAAGTGTAAACTAATATGGGACGAATTGAGAAGTCAATTTGAGACGAAATGAGAGGACACCGACACATTTGCTATTTTCACTCGTCATGTACTACAAAATTCTTTTTTCGCGCATAAAAAAGACGTTTTTCGACAGACAAAAGGTAGAGCCATGGGAAGAAATGTTTCCCAAACACTATATCTAAAAATCGTTCTATCTGTGCAAATCTGTGCAAAAATTTTTCAAAAAAACTAAAAGATTTGAAACTCTTGAATTTTGAAAGTTAAATATCTCAAGATTAATGAGAAAAAATTCTATTTTTAGCAACTGATAGATTATGAAGTCTTTTAGATTAGAACAACATTCAGTTTTTGATACGAGGCTTCGTGATTTTTTCACTGATCCGATTGAAGTGCTATAGAAAATGTTTATCGTAGCAAAGTAACTTTATAAAAGCTATTTTAATTTTACATCTCACTCTTATCACGAGACTTCGAAAAATCAAAATCCATGATGAGACTTCTTTTCATCCGTCTAAATTAGAAGACATACTGCGTTTCTTAAAAGTTTGAGATTGTTGAACCTTGAATTTCAATTACCTTGGACTGATCTTAGACGATACTCCGCTTTTACATTTTAGATCTGTTGTATTGATTTTAATGTTATTTTAATTTTCACTTTTTCTGTTTTTACCTCGAGATAGGCTTTTCCAAGTCGAAACGGTGGTGTGTTTTTCTAATAAAACTTTGTTATAGATGGGGGGAAAAGTATTGAATTGTTCGATAATCCTTTTAAGTGTCTTATAAATTTGTAATTTTTCACCGACAAATTCATCGGCTGTGTCAGGCCGTGAAGAATTTTATTACCCAGCGAACAAAAAAATTCTTGCCCCGAAATACAACCTAAAACTCATCTTAATTAAGATGCATCGTTTTGGTCACTTTAGCAAAGTTGAAAAATGTAGCATGAATGATCGAGTCTCATGATATACGTCTGTGATAAGTGACTGCGTTTGAAATTATATCCATTTCAATTGTTTCAGCTGTTCATAAATATACTGAGCAATAAATTCATGTGTATGTGTTGTATAATGGATCGTATCCCAGAAAATATACTTATCGGGACTGCTACACACAACTAACTGGTCCAAACAATTTGTTGTGTTGTTTTCAAAGCCATATTTTGCTGGATTCATAATCATATCATTAGTAACTAGATAAACATCTGCTATTACAACACAATTATTGACATTCTTTAATTTTGTAATTTCATTCGAGAGTAGCTGATTCCCTACACAAAAACAAACTTGAAATATGATGCAGCGCTTATCGTCAAGCAGTTTCAAAGTATTTGTAAATCGAATATAGAACTGCTATGAATAGCAGTTCTATATTCGATTTACAAATACTTATTTCCAACTGCTCTACCAACAAATTTCATAGTTTCAAAGTACCTGCATTAACAAAATTAGCAATATATTGTTGTTGTGCTGAACCAGTTAATCGAAATTGGGGAGAGTATTGAGCTGGTGGTTCATTAAACACTAAAATACGTTTTGCATTGTATGATAAGAGCAACTTTACACAATTTATTAAACTCGCAACAATTGTCTGATAGGATAACGAATTATTTTCCAAGAAATCGTTTGCACCAGCCCATATAACAAACACTTGTTGAGAATCATCGGTTTCTGATTGATTTTTGTACATTTGTATTTGCTCTATAACACTTGGAACAAGCCGCATACCATTGGTATAACCATGTACAATGTTATTATCTGTTGTTGCGCCGCCATAGGCATAATTATCTAACTGTACTCTCTGTTGTTTTCGATATCGTTCTGAATTGATTTTTGAAATTAATTGTGCAATCCAATTTTTCCCGTTCGAATAAGTGCCATTAAAATACGGTGGCGATGGCGGATATGTACGATTGGTTATTTTATTAAAAGTATTACCTGTGTCCGTTATGGAATCACCAAAACAAACAATTTTTTTTAACTTGCAGTTGTAACAATAACAGTGGACGAATGAATAAATGACAATGGTGAAGAGAACGGTGAAAAATTTATGCATAAACATCGTTTAGAACCACAAACTGATCACTTTCATATCAAAAGTGGTGGAACTACACCAGATATGCATCAAATTTTGTTGGTCATAGAAACTTTTATTAGTTGATATTAGTTGCTCGACATCTTGTTTATACAGTAGGCACCATATGATTTATTTATCAGACTTAACTGAGAATTGATGTAACTTTTTCACTTTTTAATGCATTGCCATCAATCAGAACCTTAACAGATTTTTGATTTTTGTTTCTATTCGCAGCTGTGCTCTAAAACTTTTATACTGTATAAGGTGGTGTCGAATCGCGGTTCATATTCGATTCGATTCGACTGGGTCTAGTCTTTGGAAAAATGTGAACCCTTATTTCCCGGCTACGCAATTCGAATCGGTTGATTTTTTATTTGCTGGAACAGCAACGTCTAGAGAACAAAACATGCAAAAAAAGTTTAAATTTGACGTTCGGTTTATTGAAACAATATTCAGATACGGAGCAACCCATGTCGCAATTTTTT